AAATAAATTACTAATATTAGATACATAATATGTGCCACATGTATTGTCTTATTTAATAAACAGATAAAGGTAATATGTATTTCTAGTTTAATTATGATCTTTATTTCTCTAATTTTCCTCATAAAGTCTTACATTTCTTAACAATGAATTCTCCTACAAAGGGGTTTCAAAAATCAAACTTGGGTGTAGAGGAGAGAGATTGCTTTGCATAAAAAACAAAAGAAACTGTAGAGTTTGAAATATATATGTATAGGAAAAAGAAAGTGTAGAATATGAAATGCAAGATTACAACTCATAATTATGAAATAATAACTAAAATTTATCTCTCAAAAATTGGGAAATGTAGCAGAAATTGATCTATTTAAAAATGAATAAAAATGTTGAATATATGTTTGCTCCATAAAGGCATAGATTTTTGTGTTTCTTTCACTGCTGGATCCTTAGAAGCTAGAACAGCCTCCGGCATATAGTAGGTACTCAATAAAAATCTATTAATAGAATGAATAAATGACTAAATTCAAGAGATTCAGATTATTCTCTGAATTTCGTCTCTAAGTAATATATGAGCAAGTCATTTAGCATCTTTGGATGCAAGTCTTATTTGTGGGATTTCTATTTATTTATTTAAAAGATATTGCAAGATGGAATTTGTTCTGCTAGATATAAATACTAACAGCATGGTACTGGTTTAGGAACAGGCAATAAATCAATGGAATAGACCAGAAAATTTAGAGATAGATTGTGTGTATTAAATATTAATATATATATTTAGTATTCCACAAAGGTAGAATACAAAATTGGTATGAAGATAAAATGAATTGGTTTATGAAACCTGGCTATTGAGTAGGAGAAAGAATAATGTTAATTCTGTCACAAATCATATAGCAAGCTAAATTCCAGATAGATCAAGGACTTGAGCATTTAAAAAAAAAAAAAAGCAAATTATAAAACTACTGGGAACAAAATTCACAGAAATGTTTTTATAACCTTAGCATGGTGAAACCATTTTTAAGAGTAACACCAAACTTAACACTATAAAGAAAACAGATTAAAATGTGAACAATTACGTACTCTAGAGTGTAGGAGAAAATAAAAAGTGTTATGGAATTGGATGCATGAAGATGGTACCACACATTAGGCTAATGATGTTACTTTAAAATATTTCTTAAATCATGAAAATAATATCACATTACAAAAACTTTAGAAGATAGAAAATAGAAAGATAGAAGATAGAAAAATACCCCCCAGTATAACATAATGACTATCATTTTAGTTTATTCCTTTGCAATTTTTTTTATATTAAGATATTTCACATGCCATAAAATTCACTCCTTTAGAGCAGCAGTTCCCAACCTTTTTGGTACCAGGGACCGGTTTCATGGAAGACAATTTTTCCACCGACTGGAGGGGGGAATGGTTTTGGGATGTGCATTCATTACATTTATTGTGCAGTCAAACTTCTTTGCTAATGATAATCTGAGGCAGCACCACCACTTCAGCTCCAGGCATTAGATTCTCGTAAGGAGCAGGCAACCTCGGTCCCTTGAATGTGCAGTTTACAGCAGGGTTGGCACTCATATGAGAATCTAATGTCACTGTGATCTGACAGGAAGTGGAGCTTATGTGGTGATGTGAGTGATGGGGAGTGGCTATAAATACAGAGGATGCTTGGCTTGCTCACCTATGTCTCACGTCCTGTTGTGTGGCCTGGTTCCTAACAGGCCATGAACTGGTACCAGTCTGCGGCCCAGGGCTTGGAGACCGCAGCTTTAGAGTGCACAATTCGGTGGATTTTAGTACATTCACAGAGACATGTAGCCGTCACCACACTTTAATTCCAAAACATTTCCACTCCCACCCCAGAGAAAACGAGCATTAGCAGTTACTGTTCATTCCCCCTCTCTGAGCCCCCAAGTCTGCTTTCTGTATCTATGTGTCATAGGCATGTTTTTTTATTTATTTCGGCATATTATGGGGGTACAGATTTTAAGGTTTCAATAAAAGCCCTTTCTCCCCCTCCCCCCACAAGTCTGAGTCTCTAGCATGACCATCCCCCAGATGGTGCACATCTCACTCATTATGTATGTATATACCCGCCCTCCCTCCCACCTGCCCAATATCCTATTACTGTAGTACCTATGTGTCCACTTAGGTGCTGCTCCGTTAATACCAGTTTGCTGGTGAGTATATGTGGTGCATGCTTTAAACACAGTTGAATCTTAGGAGTCTTCCTTGTTTCATTTAACATTCTCTCAGCTTTCCATAAATGAATAAATAGTCTTCAAATTTTTGCACAGAGAAATCATTTATAAAATGTTTGCAGAGAGCAAAAATTGAAAAAAAGGAAAAAATACCGGAAAGAAATAAGGATAATTTTAGGAAACTAATTAAAAGATGAAGATATAAATTATTTATTAGCAAGTATACAACACAGGTCAAGAAGTGAATAGTCACATGGTCAGATTATTAAAGAAGGACATTTTCTTGGGTGCGATGGTTTTACTATTGTGTTATTTTTTAAAAAAATTTTTTTATCAAAGCAGACATTTTTTTATAAAAAATGTCAACAATGTGGAAGAGCTTGTTGTAAAAGGTTAAGAATGCTTTGCTGCTGCACCCCCTCCCACCTTTACCTTCCATCCAAACCCCAGACCAAGTCTAACTTTTTAACACCTAAATTTTTTTTTTTTTTTTAAATCTTCTGGGTGGTTACTTCCCTATCTCTAAATAATACAGTCATATCGCCACTTCTTTATTCATCAGACTGACTTTATCTGTGGATTTCCTTCCTATTCTGATAGCTGAGAACATAGTTCACTCTCACCCTGCTCCCTCCCAATATGGCCATCTCATTATTTTTAGTTCCTCTATTGTAATTTTAGAGGACTTACTTCAGTTCCTCTTTGAATCTTTCTTAATATATGAACCTTTGTTTCCTGTTCTGTTAACTATAACCTGTATGTCTCGGCTCCCCACTTTCTATAGTTCCTCTCCTCTTCCACTTCCAAAATGCTCTCACGGATGTTTTCTGTAAGATTTCAATAAAAGATGTGAAAAAGTTCGAATGATCTGCACAATGGAATAAGGAGTTTCAAAAATGACATTTTTAAAAACATCGTGAATTGTTCATGCACACAGGCGAGAATTGAAACTAACACAGGAACACACATCCGTCTACCACTGAGCTTATTTAAATTTTAGCATCGTAACATATTTGTTCCCCTTTTAAAAGACAAAGCGTTGCCGGTCCACTGAAAGCCCACGCACTACTGACTGACTCTACTTGTCTTCCACCTCAATGTTTATATTATATCAAAACCTCTCTCATTAACTCAGTATTTATCATTCGACTGCATGATTTTATATTTCTGACACATACTTTGGCATCCATAAACATACATTAACAATGACATTTTCAAATGTAAAATGAAAGCTACTGGAAATTGGAAAGCACTAGTATTTCTAAATTCCCAGATTTTTCTGTAAGTATTACCGCAAAGCAAGCAAAAGGTTCCCAGAGAATGACTCACAAGGCACAGAGTATACTGTAAAAGGGCAAAAAAGAATAACTTGGTGGCTTAAGAGGAATTATGAAATACACCAAAGGAGGGAATTGGGAATATCATTTTTAATTTTGCACCAAGACAGATTTTTAGATTGGGCCATCCATGCCCAGAAAAGAAGGGCTGAAATTGAGCAGGGCGTTCCTTACCCATAGGGTCTCCTCACCATACATGGGCTGGGTAGAGAGAATCAGGGAGTGTGAGGCTGATCCTTATGGTGAAGTGCCAGTACCCAGCACACTGCAGAGGAATGGAATTTAAGGATGAAGGGACCAGCATTTGAGGACTGACCCCACTTTCAGCTTATGCAGAATTTATAGTTAGAAGCTCTAACAGAAGCAGCATAGTTTCAAATATTTAAACTTGAGCACATGCTAGAGAAGCAGGTTCAAGAGTCACAAAACACAGCACAAAGTTAAAAGAAAAGGAAGCAAAGGCAAGCTCAAGAGCAGGAAGATACAAATATAAAGATATTAATTTTTCTTGATTATGAAATAGACTTTAAATTTTTACAAGAATATTTTTTAAAGTCACTCGTAATTCCCTTATGACTGTATAGCAGTTCTTTCTTCTTATTCTTTCCCAATTTTATCTCCCCCCCCACATTTATAGTATGTATACAAAGATTACCTTGCTCTAACTATAGTATGAGATGCAATTTGATACACCACATTTAAAATTTAACATTTTCATTGACACAATTTCATTCGTTAGACTTACCATTCTCAGTACTGTTTGATGTTGTGCCTATTGTTCCCAGTTGCCTGCTATTATAAATGATGCTGCTATAAGTACAGTGGGTATCCTTAGCATAAATGGGGCAGGGAATGCTAAGAAAAATTAGCGAATTAAAAATTTTTTAAGTAGAAAGGTAAATGTGGGAGATTTAGAAGTTACCTCTGGGAGCCAATTAATTCAAGAGAATTGTATCCTGTTTCTTGTACATTAATTATGTTTTAGCCCCACCTAGTAGGTATGCAGTTCTTCTCATGACGATTTTTAAAAAATATGGAAACAGGCCGGGCGCTGTGGCTCACGCCTGTAATCCTAGCTCTTGGGAGGCCGAGGCGGGCGGATTGCTCAAGGTCAGGAGTTCAAAACCAGCCTGAGCAAGAGCGAGACCCCGTCTCTACTATAAATAGAAAGAAATTAATTGGCCAACTAATATATATATAAAAAATTAGCCGGGCATGGTGGCGCATGCCTGTAGTCCCAGCTACCCGGGAGGCTGAGGCAGAAGGATCACTCCAGCCCAGGAGTTTGAGGTTGCTGTGAGCTAGGCTGACGCCACGGCACTCACTCTAGCCTGGGCAACAAAGTGAGACTCTGTCTCAAAAAAAAAAAAAAAAAAAAAAAAAAATATGGAAACATTTACAAGTGATAAAATAAAAAGCATAGATGACAATAAAAATATACATGTACCCATAATTAATCAATATTCATCACATTTTTTAAATGAAGGAATATTCCTGAAAAGTTGAAGTCTCCTTTGTACCCCTCTGCAATCATATGGGTAGCCTCTTAATGATACCAAGGAACAACAAGACAAATTTGTCCCAAAGTAGTTCACATGAATATTAATAAATGAATAGGGACGGGTGTGATCTACGCAGAAAAATTTAACTCTTTAATAGGTTGCTGTTTCTAACATCATTGTAGTAACGCCCTATGTTGGTATGATGCACTACAGTTTTCAAAGTGCTTTTGGGGATGTGAGGTAAGCTTCAACCAAGACTGTTCCACTACCCAGGAGTGGGTAGGGAATGATGAACAGCAGACATTTCTGCTACTGAATTTCAGCAGCGGGGGTGGGGAGTGGTGCCTACTGGACCAGCACAGAAAATAGTCTTTGGCCACTGGGCCAAAGACTATTTTCAATCAACAATAGGCATCAACATCAATCTTTATTAGGTGACACTACTTCGAGCTTTCCTCCTGTTACATGTGAGAGGAATAAGTCCCTTTTCCTTGGACCAGTGCGACTTTGAGAAAGCTGCAGGAGAGATGGGACAGCTTTAAACAGGTAGAAACAGAGTGCTCCAGCAAATACACTATTAAGAGAAAAACTCTCAAGGGCTAACAAGACAGCAGCGCTGGGCACAGAGCACCTGCTCAAAGTAAAGACAGCAGCACTCCCCAAAGTGAGACCTATTTGGAAGTTGCTGAATGGCATGGAGCTTTGACAGGAGCTACAAATGAGACCATGACATTGGGTCTCTCCAGCTTTCTCTTTTTCCAGGGATCCTGGCACTCATTGCTGGGCCCTGGCTGGTTGATGCTGGCCAATTGTAGGACAAGGACGGTGAAGAAATTACAGAATGGAAAGTAAAGATGGAAGAAAGGAGAGTATTGTTGGAATTAGCGTCAAAGGGGTGTACGCATATAAACACACACACACATACGTATGTATTAATAACTGTACAGTAAACTGACACCAGTTTCAGCTTTTGCAGGAGAAATCACTATTTATATCTACAATGTATAACAGAAGAAGCATAGCTTCAAGCATTTAAGCACTTGAACATTTAAGCTGGAGAAGCAGAAGCAAGAGTCATCAAAGAAAGTCTTGCATTTTCTATGTACACTCGCACACACGCATACATATATGTATGTATACTTACATTCACACATGCATACACACTTGTGAAATAAACATGTTTAAATTGAAAAGATCATTAAGAAAATAGAAGAATTAGTACAAACATGAGCTGTCAATAAACTCCATAGTTTAATTCATTGTCACATAATAACTGCTGGCCAGACCCAACATGAAGACCTACCTGGCACCTGCATTCTGCCTGCTGTGATGGCTTCTCTCCTACCCTTCATTAGAGCTGGCCATTCTCCCTCTAATGTGACCACAGAGTACTTTTCATCTCGGCTCCTTTTTAACATCAACCACAATCACGATGTGTTCCATTGTTGGTTCCATTTGTCCTTCCCCACTAAGCTTTGCGGTGCTTAGGATAAAGGACCATGTTCTCCTCGTCTTCACATCTCTGGCATCCGATGCAGTATTTGGCCAGTGTGTGTACTCAGCCCATCCTTGCTGAAACTGGGCCTCTGCTTGTCACAGAGAGAGCAGTTGTGCTACTGAGGCAACTTCTGCCTACTGTCTCACACAGTTCTCTCAGCTTTGCTCTCTCCTTTAGGCAGAGAATCAACAGCTATCTTGTCGAGTTCACAGGGGCTTTCTTTTATTTTCTCCTGTAGGGGAAGATCTGTCATGCCTTCTGCACTGAGGTTAAGACACAAATTCTTCCCATGTGCTGTTAAAGAAAAAAAATGAGGACTATTAGAGACCTGAGACTGAGTGGAAAAGCTTTACTGCCATGAGGGGAACCTGGCACAGGGGAACAGAGGCAGAGGTCTAGGAGACCCTCGGGGGTGAGATTTAGGAGAAGAGAAAGGAGGTAGGTCTTTTAAAGCTGAAACACTCAGTTTCTGTCCCATATTATAAAATTAAAGTGAGCGATGTTGATTAGCTGATGATGTCTGGGTTTGTTGTTTCATAACTCCGGGGCTGACTGGGGTGGTTTGCTGTGCACTGTTGGGATCATCTAGGGATAATAATGGTAGGCAGGTGCCTTATGACCTGCCCAAATGGGGACTATGCCAGTCCACTTGGATATCAGCAAGTGCTCCTGTTGCAGCAGGCTTGGTGGGCTGTTCAGAGTTTAGGTGTGCACATAATTATGTTGGGGTTTGAGAAGTTCACATCTCTACTTCTATCAAGATCATACACCAGCCCCTGTTCTCTTAAGTTGTGGTGACCCCTCTCTTCTATGAGGCAAGGGAGAGGAATGAACACTCATTCAATGCCTACTATACGGCAGGTACTCCATTGCTTTTAGAATCTTTACAAATGAAATGAAGCAGATATCACCATTTAAAGAGGTCACGACACAACCATCAAATGGTAAATCCAGGGTCAAAGCCAGGTCTAATCTCGTCTACTCTGGCTTTAAAACCTTGCTTGATAGCTCCTGACACCGTTTGACAGTGGCTCTCCCACTGCCAATGAATGACCTGGGCAGCTGGCCATGACATAGGGTGCCAATATTTATCCCAACGGAGACTTTTCTAGGTCTTAGGGGTCTTGTGTTACTCTATTAAGTAAAAGACTAGCAATTTGGCAGAGTCAAGAGAGCTGACCAGAAGCATAAAATGCTCTCTAGTCAGGAGGAAAGAGAAAGGAAAAACTAAAGAAAAAACAGTATAAGGTTGAAAGTATACAGGTTATAAGAAACTAATGAACCATGTCCAATGTTTTATTGGTTTTGATAATAGAACAAGCAGTATGCAAAAACATGATATAGAAAATGCCTTTTATACTAGAATTCACTGAAATTCAAATGAGGTAATACATCTGAAAACGCTTTCAGTGTATAAAGTGCTACACAGCCTTGAGGGATTATTTGTACAAGAAAAACCTTTTACAAGAAGAACTCGAAACATTGGTGTTTTTGCCTCTTTAAGAACTAGAGCAGGTTTGAGAGTTGTTGCTTGTTGAAGAAACAACTCATGTTTATTTTCTTAGTTTGGCAGGATTGGGTAGAGAACAAAATCAGCCTTCAGGAGAGGAAATTCTCTGGGACTATATGAGACTCCATAACCCTCCTCTGAACTGTGGCCAGGAAGGCTGGGTAGCACTTTTTAGGGTGTTTTTAGAAAAAATGTAGTGAGCACAATAAAGCTGTGTAATCTAAATTAAATATTAATAGCATGCCTAGACACTTTGTACTAGTGAAATATTTCTACCTAAAAAAATCAATTTTTATTTTATCTCTTATGAACATTCAATCTGCTTCCATCTCTGTTCTTTCTGCCTTGTTAAACACCTCCCCAAAGTCTCTCACCCTTTCTTTCTCCAGCCTGAAGTCTCTGATGGTACTACTTAGAAGAAAAGTTATTTTACTATTTCTTTCTCCCAGAATTGTTTCTTTGATTCTTTTTTCTGTTTGTTTGTGTTTTGTTTATTTGTTTTTGAGACAGAGTCTCACTCTGTCACCCTGGCTAGGGTGCAGTGGTGTCACCATAGCTCACTGTAGCCTCAAACTCCTGGGCTCAGGTGATCCTCCTGCCTCAGCCTCCCAAGTACCTGGTACTACAGGTGGGCACTGCCATGCCTGTATAGTTTTTGTATTTTTTGTAGAGAGAGGGTCTTGCTCTTGCTCAGGCTGGTCTCAAACTCCTGACCTCAAGCAATCCTCCTGCCTTAGCCTACCAAAGTGCTAGTGTTACAGGCATGAGCCACTGCTCCTGGCCTGTTTCTTTGATTATTTAAGGCATCTGATCAAATGCTTTCCCCGTGTGTCTGAGTACACATTGTGCCTTCTTCCTTTCATTTTTCCCTTTGCCCTACCCTTGCAACCTTAGAACTTTTAAGTTCCCACTACAATTTCAAATATAGAATATTTTGCTCTTCCGCCCACTAGAGAGCTTAAAATGCCTCTAATTACACTGTTCTCCCAGGTCCTTCCTTTCCTTTGCAATTTAGATGTAGCGCAGCAATACAGTTTGCTTGCCTCTCCTCTGATCTGTCATGCTGTTTTTTGTTTTTGTTTTTTTTTTGAGAGTCTCACTTTGTTGCCCAGGCTAGAGTGAGTACCGTGGCATCAGCCTAGCTCACAGCAACCTCAATCTCCTGGGCTCAAGCAATCCTACTGCCTCAGCCTCACAAGTAGCTGGGACTACAGGCATGCGCCATCATGCCTGGCTAATTTTTTCTATATATATATTAGTTGGCCAATTAATTTCTTTCTAGTTATAGTAGAGACGGGGTCTTGCTCTTGCTCAGGATGGTTTTGAACTCCTGACCTTGAACAATCCACCCACCCTGGCCTCCCAGAGTGCTAGGATTATAGGCGTGAGCCACCACGCCTGGCCTGTCATGCTGTTTTGATGGTGTTCTATCTTATGAGAGTCTTGGTTAAATAATGGCCCAGCACCCCACCTATGTTTAAAAGAACTGCTTTGCAGGCAAAGCAAAAAGGCCACGGAGCTGTAGTCACAGTGGGCTTTGTTATTCAACAGTGCCAGGCTGCCATTCAACTCTTGGTTGAAAAGTAAATTTCAGTTTCATTCACCTAAAATATTTCCTTCTATTTTTTAAGATCATAAGCTGTTACTTCAATCTGGACTTGTTTGCAAATGGACATTAACATAACCTTATATATTTGCCTGTTTCCACTGGTCCAGAGTTGTACTCTCTAAATGAAGCAGGGCCTCTGTATTTTAAGCAATTCTCCTGAACAATGTCATGAGCATCCCCAAGTTTGACAGCTACCTGAGAAGCTGTGTTGGGAAAAGAACAACGAATGTATGTGGGCAGACAGTATTTTGAAAACATTTCTGTTTTCATCTCTTCCCATCTGTTCTTTCCTGTTATCCCTCCCCTTTAAGAGTCTTTTCAAGGCCAAAAATAAAGGTTTTGCAATTACAAAGTCAACGCTTTAGGGGACCCAAGCCTTGGGGTGTATATAGTATGGTAGAGCCAGACTTTTCTCCTTCCTGTGCCTAGATGATGGTCTGGATCCAAGAGAGCCCTAGTGGTTTCAGAGAAAGTGATCCGCAAGGTAGAACTTCCTGGCTGAGAACAGCAAGGCCAGGTGCCCCTACAGCCGAGCTAAGGCAGCAAGATCCTGGAGTCCCCGCGGCCTGCCAGCTGGAGCACAAGCAGAAGGAATGTCCGGGGGAGAACTGGGCAGCTGGGCCTGCGGCACCTCCCAGACACGACTCTCAGGAATGGGTGGGAAGTGGTGAGGGGAGAAAATCTTGACTTAATTGATGTCAAGTTTCCACGACCTGCTGGCATTTAAGGTCACACATAGGAAAAGAAAATTATGCCTTTACTCCAGTGGCCTGAAATTCATACCTATCACTACTCAGTAGAAATGGGAGATCTGGGTTCATGTCAAGAGTCTTTTTTGCCAACTGTGTGTGCCACTGTGCAGTCGCTCAGCTTTTGTGAATCCTGGGTTCCTCATCATTAAAATGGGGAAAATAAAATTATATTGAGCATAACAAATGAGTATTTTTATAGGTCAAAAATGGTTGAATATTGGCAATTTCACGTGATTCAACTTAATACTTCACAGGCATAAGGAAAAAAGTAAATATATTAGCAACTCTCCTTGTTATTCAGTAAGTGCTTAATAAGTACATGATTTATAAAAAGACATGTAAAAGATATTTTCAAGTATGTGATTTATAAAAAGATATATAACTATGTAAACACTTGTGGTCTAATGGTCATAGTATTAAGGGAATCTCAGCTTAAAATATCTGCTCTCTACCATATAGCATACAAAATGCCTATTGGGGTTCTCTTTCTTCTTCTTCTTCTCATTTCCCCTCTTCTTCATCCTTCTCCTCCTCTTCCTCATACTTCTCTTTCTTCTTCTTCTGCAAGTTTAATTTTTTAAATAGTTAACACATTCTAATGATTCAAAAACTTTTCAAAAAGTGTAAAAAGAAATACAGTAAAAAATTTCCTATCATATCACTGTTCTCCATCTGTCTAGAGGACTAAGTCCCATATCACAAATTAAAAATATGAACTTTAAATGTAAATGATCTATTTTGCTAGGCAAATAGAGCTTTTTCTTTGGCTTATAGGCCAGCTCAAAGTATAGTCATTATTTATAGCTTCCATAGTTTCAAATTCTCCTACTCATAGAAATTTATTTATAACACCCAAAACAATACCCACAGCACTTTTGTGATCATTGGCAGACATCTGCACGACAGCAAAAAATTTGAGTTGTTGATTGCACATGTTCCTAGCTGAATTTGAACAAGGCAACACTGCTTTGCTTCAGCTTTTATACTATGCATATGTCCTTTTTCACATTTTTGTTCTTTTTGGTGGTGATTTTACTGTTTAAAATGGCCTCCAAGTATCGTGCTAAGTGCTGTCTCGTGTTCCTAAGCACAGAAGGCTGTGATGTGCCTCATGGAGAAAATACGTGTGTTGGATCAGCTTCATTTGGGCATGAGCTATACTGCTGTTAGCTGTGACTTCAATGTTAGTGAATCAACAATATAGATTAAATAAATTATCTTTAAACAGAAACACACAGGAAACAAGGTTATATGTTTATTGGATGACAAAAATGTTGTGGCCAGAGGCTCACAGGAACCTAACCCTGTATTTCCCCTAGGAGCAAAGGTTCCGTAGTTGCTAATTCAGTGTTTGTAGCAACTTTATAGATACCACCACCACAGATAATGAGAATCGACTGTATTTTATATCCTAATACCTGAAGTCAAGTTTTCCTATCACGCTCTTTTGTTTTTAAAGTCCATTTGATTTAAGTTTTTTAAAAAATATGATAGCTGCTGGGTGCAGTGGTACATGCCTGTGGTCCCAGCTACTGAGGAGGCTGAGGGAGGAGGATCATTTGAGCACAGGAGTTGGAGGCTGAAGTGCACTATAATTGTACCTGTGAATAGCCACCACATTGTAGCATGGGCATCATAGTGAGAACTTGTCTCTACAAATAAATAAATAGATAGATTCATTAATCTTTTTTTTTTTTTTTTTAAGACAGAGTCTCACTTTGTTGCCCAGGCTAGAGTGAGTGCCGTGGCGTCAGTCTGGCTCACAGCAACCTCAATCTCTGGGGCTCAGTGATCCTACTGCCTCAGCCTCCCAAGTAGCTGGGACTACAGGCATGCACCACCATGCCCGGCTAATTTTTTGTATATGTATTTTTAGTTGGTCAATTAATTTATTTCTATTTTTGGTAGAGACGGGGTCTCGCTCAGGCTGGTTTCGAACTCCTGACCTTGAGCAATCCGCCCGCCTCGGCCTCCCAATGTGCTAGGATTACAGGCTTGAGCCACCACGCCCGGCCTCATTAATCTTTTATTGGGTGTAAAAATGTTCCTAAGTGTATTTTTGGAAGGGATGGACTCAAAAGGCAGCCATTGTTAGTGTAAGTAGTTTAAATATACCACTCATTTCATAGCCTCTGAACCACTCATCAAATAGTGCTGATATGTCAGTAGCTTTGTCTACAGTTCCTTCAAGAATGCTTGTATCTTTTATTAGTGTTGAAGAAGAAACTTATTGTAATCTTCAGTAGAGAATTATAAGTGCATATCATCGTATTACCAAACCTGGAACTCAACTTTATTTTGCCATTAATAAAAAATGCAGTTTTTATGTTAATTACAATTAAAATCAAGGGTTGCTAAGCAACCTTACAGTTTACTTGTAAGAAGTTTTGTTACCATTTATATTATAATGAGCAACAGGTATAATTCCTTGGGGTTTGTTAAAATGTAGATATTTTCAAGAGGAACACCATATTAAAATTTATCAATTTCTTGTCATTGTTTTATATCCTTTGGACCACTGTACATTACAAGTAGACAAAGACAGCTTTGGCTACTTCCATCTCAGTGAATAAGTTGACTAGATGTTTTCCTGATTGCAGGTTCTGCCAAAAGATAAGCAGAGAGAAATGGGGAGAGTTCAGAAAGAGAGAGTAAGCAACCCGACTGAATGGATTCTTATGGGTTGAATTGTGTTCCCCAAACAAACAACAAAAAAAAGATGTGTTAGAGTCCTAACCCCCAGTACCTCAGAATAAATACAGAAAAAAAAATCAAGTTAAAATGAGATCACTTGAGTGGTTCCTAATCCAATATGACTGATGGCCTTATGACAAAAGGGGAAATTTGGAGACACACACAGGGAGACACACACAGAGAGACACACACAGGGAGAATGCCAGGTGAATGTGAGGAGATTTGGCTGATGTAGCCGAGGCCTAGGAATGCCAAAGATTGCTACCAACCCACAGAAGCTGGGAGAGGAGTGTGGAACAGATTCTCTTTCACAGTCTTCCATAAGAGCCAACCATCCCGACACCTGGATTTTAGACTTCTAGCCTCCAGAGCCGTGGGAAAGTACATTTCTATCATTTTAGCCATCCAGTGTGTTGTATTTTGGTACAGAAGTCCTAGCAAATATATGGACCATCACTGGTTAAAGAATAAAATTAGACCCCTTTGTGCCTTCTTGTTCTGCTCCAATTTAACAGAACCAGAGAAGGATTTGCTTAGAAGCTAGACATGATGGACTGAATCCTGCCCAAGCTCCTAAAACCACAGCCTAGCCCCTTCACACAACACAGAAGTCTGATTTTTCAAAGCTATCTCAATGGATGGGTCACTCCTAGGCTCGTTTAGGCCACTGACAACTGTGCTGGCCTCCTCTACATAATAAGCTCGACTTATCGCATGACTTACTACATGCTTCTATGTCATGGGAAGGTCAAATGAGTACACAGAGAGTGTTTCTGGTGGGAAAGCAGCAGGAGTCTTTAGAGCAGTGGCAGTGTCGAATGCCTTTTCTTACCTACTCTGGGTGCTGATGACATCTTTTTTTTTGTTCAGGCAAATCCACTTGGAACTATTTTGGGCTCAGCGTGGGCATCAGCCTTTGTGCACTCTGCTCCATTCCCCATGGTTTCCCTTTTGATGGGAGATTGCTAAAGAATGAAGAAAAGAATTAAATGAAAATGGCTTTAAACATTTTTAATGACCCTGTCTTTAGGTACTATGTATTTTCAGTAACACGTCCCCTTAGCTATTTTATACCTCCACTGGATATTTTGGGATGTGAGCCTTGCAATATCTACATGAATTCTTCTCTGATTGTGATCCTTGTTTTGCATTTTCCTTGATACCCTGCCAGGTATTGTCACCTCAGTGTGTGAGATGGGGTCCAGGCAGAAATCAGAGCCCGTTCTGTTGAGGGAAGTTAATACCAGGAACCAGTCATATAAGTGTTGAAAGGGCTGGAAAACCAAACTGGGGAAGAATGGGCACCCTGGAGAGTGGCAATAGCAGGAATCCTCTACCCTTCACCTCCAGGGCTGGAGAGACTGAGGAGCTGAGTTAACTGACCCTGGAGCCATTGCCCAGGAAGAACAGTGACTACAGAGGAAGAGCGGCCTTGAGGGAGAAGCTGCCTGAATCAAAGAGCAGGGGAAATATGTTGGTTTATCCTCTTATTCTACCAGTGCTCTTACTTTATCTCTTTATCTTTCATTGTCCTAATTTCTTTTGGGTCTTGGCAAATGAGCCTAAGAAATGGGGTTGGCAGGAATATAGACAGAACAAGAGAAGGACAAAGAATGAATGGATCTGGGAGCAAGGAGGCAAATGACCAGCATGTTAAGGTTAGTGCAGTATGTTGTGCTAGGTAGGGAGCAGCAAGAGATGAAAGCAGGTCAGAAAAGCCAGAACCAGGGGCTGGGCAAGGCCAGTGAGGTATGATAGGTACTGCATACAGAATAGAGGGCCATAAACAGGCGTGAAGTCAATATAGGGGACTAGCACATATACATCATAAATTATAAATAGAGAAGCATGAAACAGTCTCCAGGAGAGCAGGGAAAACAGGAAGTTGTAGATTTTCAGGATAATTAGGCCATATCAAGGAAACAGAACATCAACACACATGAGGAAATAACAAAGAGGCAATAGGCTTAGAGAGGTACAATTCATTGCCCACATGTGGGAATTCATTCCAAATAACTAGTCTGAGATGTAGACATAAGAACCCAAAAAAGATTTTTTTCTTAGTTTTTTTCCATGGTCTTAGCTGTTGTACACTTTTTGGTTGTCTGAAATTAACTCTCACATCTGTTTAGGAATTGTATTTTGAAATAGCTGACATTAGTTTTCCTACCTGTCATTGTTCTTTCTCGTGGCAGGAAAGTATACAGAAAAGTTATAGCTGTTCAAAGTTTCCATTGATTTGAAATCTCTGCAAATAAGATGCTCCTGTTTGGCACTCACAGGGTACTATCTGCAAGGAAGGCAAAGATAAAGGGGAAAGAAACAAAAAATGAATCATCCAATCCATGAACAGAGAAAGCATATCCTACAGAGTGAAGTAACTTACTTGTCTTACATTTTCTCCCTTACATTATTTGTTTATCATTCACAGTAGCACACTTTGGGGCTTGAATAAAGCAGCACCATATGTGAAAAAGATAAATAGATACTTTAGAAGTGATCATAACACTCTATTTAAAAATAATCTCTCTGGATTCATACAGACTTGTTTGGATAACAGAATTAAAAATCGTTTCTTGTCTTTAATTCATTCAATTGAAAGTTTTAAAAATAATTATTTTAATTAATCAAGAGCTTTTTGGTGGAATCTAAATTAGTTTGTATAGGAGATGCCTGTTTCACTAATTATGCAGGCATCTTGCAATAATTGATGTTTGGAAGAAAGGGATGTATTTTGCTCACTCTTTTATTCATCACAAAAATGTGCATCTTGGAAAGTAATAATGGAAGCATGTAGAATTACAGGAATACAAATTTATATAATTATCACAAAAAATGAGGCCAAAGGACTATTCAGATATAATGAGGCCGTGGTAGCTGTAATCATCTAGGTAATTAATAAAATTCATTCACCCAGAAATTGTTAGTGAGCATCAAATATGTGCAGATACTAGGCTAGGCTCTGAGAACATACAGATAAACAATAGTTTCTGGCTTCGGGGAGTTACATAGACTAGAGAGAAAACCTAACTACAGGCTATGAGAGATGACTATGGGTGGGGAGCCACAGGTAGAACAGAGGGGAGATGTCCCCAGGAGTGGGGTGTTCAGCAAGCCTTCAACCTCAGCCTCCCATATCTAGGCCTCGGAGCTTGGCCAGCCCAGCCTTGGCCACCTGCCAGGCAAGCTCCAGCTTGGTCTCCCACCTTGAGCGAACACCAAGCTCCCTCTGCTTTCCTCTCACTGCCAGTTCCGCTTTATGAACTAAAATCCACCCCATTTCACTTCCCACATCAAACAAGTCATCTAGTCCTGGGGACTACATTCCTCTGAACATTCTCCTGCTTTCCATACCTGCTCCGTTGCTACAGCGTACGTGCTTGCCATTTCTTACTTGCTGTGTCACAACTGCTCTCCTATCAGGTCTCTCCATCTCCTGTTTTGACCTGCTGTAATGCAACTTTCCACTGGCAAAAGACCATCTTTCCAAAATATGTTTTTCTTTCCCAGTGCCCTGAGATGGGCCCTCATTGCCTATGAATGGTGGTTCTCAAACTTGGATGTGCTCTTGAATCACACAAGGACATTATTTTTAAAACACAGATTCCTCCTGAACCAACATTTTCAGCAACGGAGCCAGAGCACTCTGTATTTTTAACAAGTTCCTCCAGATGGGTCCTTACTGCTCAGCCTGGCTTTAGCTGGGGGCCCAGGGTTTCGGAAATACAAGGTCAAGTGCAAACTTAGCACACAAAGTTGTTCACATCGACTCTTCCCATGTACACACCCTGGCCTATACTGCAGCCAGAGTTGTAACCCCTTTCTGAAACACCCAGGGTTCTTTTAAGCCTTTGTGTCACTGCACGTGTTATTATCTCCAGAATTGCCCTTCACCTCCTTTTCCACCCTGGCAAGTGTTCCCTAAGCCGCCTTCTTTGAAGCTTTCTCTGAGCTCTCAGCTGAAATTCCTCCTCTGCTGCTAAAGCCCTGTGCAAATCCCTTTTCATGGTGCACTTTAATTCTTACTTGTCTATTTTCCTTTCTACACTTTGACTTTTTCAAGGGGTGGGGCTGCAAATTACTCATCTCCTTAATCTTAGTGTCCAGCCTTGTTCCTGGTTCATAACTGGCACATAACATGAATGAATGGGCAAATGAATGAGCAGAGTGCTAGTTACACTACGGTAAACAATCGGCTGCGTATGAGGCCATTTCTCTTTATGAACTGAATAATCACACACCTTCCAATAAAAAACTAAATATAGCTAGCACAAGCTCATCAACATTTGAGATAAAATGGAAACAAAATAAACAAATGCTACTGCAAAAATATAATGATTGCTTTTCCCAGTGCAGCATTGATGGAATCATTAAACATTTAGATTAATGTAATGTTTGGCAGATGTCCAATGTTTTTATTTTTCATTTGCCTTTGTGTTCATTTATGGACCGACAATATAAACACACACACGGTATGGCATTTTTTCCCCCCAAAGTCAATGACTTTATTTTTTTTTTTAGTGTATTTCTTTGTTTTCTGGTTCTACATTTTCTTCTTCCATGGTGTTCGTAGTTTTTGTTTTTTTTTTTTTTTTTTTTGAGACAGAGTCTCGCTTGTTGCCCAGGCTAGAGTGAGTGCCGTGGCATCAGCCTAGCTCACAGCAACCTCAAACTCTTGGGCTCAAGCAATCCTGCTGCCTCAGCCTCCCGAGTAGCTGGGACTACAGGCATGCGCCACCATGCCCGGCTAATTTTATATATATATTAGTTGGCCAATTAATTTCTTTCTATTTATAGTAGAGACGGGGTCTCGCTCTTGCTCAGGCTGGTTTTGAACTCCTGACCTCGAGCAATCCGCCCGCCTCAGCCTCCCAGAGTGCTAGGATTACAGGCGTGAGCCACCGCGCCCGGCTGTAGTTTTTGTTTTTTAATGAAAAGACAATTAACACACCCCCCCAAGCAAGAAATTAACACTTAGTTTTATTAGTTTACAATACACAGATGTAAATGTGAATGTAGACGTAAGTAGAATTTTTAATAGACTTCTTTTGTTTTTGCTTGCCTTACATTCACTACTTTTCTTTGGGAAATACACACTTCTTTTTCCCTTTGTAACTACTCTTCCCTTTCTGCCCATGTGGTTATTTTTGGTGGGGCTGGTGGTAGGGATGGGTGCGTGACCCATGCTTGCCCAACTGGAGTCACAGTGCTGGGTTCAGGAAGAACATCTGATCCAAGTTAGTCAAAGAGAGTTAGTTCCAGCATCTTTGTTGAGACCACTGAGAAAGGTGCACTTACTCTTTGCCCTAGTGTTGATAAACTGCTAGAACATAAGCCATTGTTGCCACCGTAGGAGTAAAGCTGCCAAAGAATGAAGCCAACACAGTGGCAAGCAAAGCGAAGAGAGAAGAAGAAGCAGATTCTGATGACGTTTTTGAGCCTTTGCATCCAGTTATGCCTGAATCCAATTTATCCTCTGAATCCAATTTATAACTTACACTTATTTAAGCTCCACTCACTTGAAAGAAAACATTTCTTTTTATTTTATTTTTTTTTTTTTCAGACAGAGTCTTGCTCTGTCGCCTGGGTAGAGTGTAGTGGCATCATTATAGCTCACTGCAACCTCACATTCCTGGGCTCAAGTGATCCTTTTGCCTCAGCCTCCCAACTAGCTGGGACTATAGCACCTGCTAATTTTTCTATTTTTAGTAGGGACAGGGTCTCTCTCTTACTCAGGCTGATCTTGAACTCCTGAGCTCAAGCAATCCTCCCGCTTTGGCCTCCCAGAGTGCTAGGATTACAGGTATAAACCACGGCACCCAGCCCATTTCTTTTTATTCTTAACCTAATTTGAGTTTGGTTTCCCTCATTTACTACCAAAAGTGTCTTGACCACTAGGACATCATGCTAGATTTTATAGCATCATTGACTTTGCTGTTTTCCAGAAGAATTGTGTGAATCTTCAATGTAGCTTTTGCATCCTATAAATTTCTAGAACTATTTTTAAGTAGAAGTACTCCACTAGTTTGTTGTAAGAGCTTAAATAAGTCACTTAATTTCTCTGTACCCCAGTTTTCTCATTTGCCAAACTACAGAACTATAATGTTCCTTCTGCAAAATTATTATCCTGTAAAATATCCTAGAGTATCTAACTGATGCACTGTTAGAGCAATCAACTGCTATTGAAGGATCATAATTCCCTAGGCATAAATGCTGTAATGGCACAGCATGTACTCCAGGGACCTGGGGGCAGAGAGAAGGAGGGGAAAGTTTGATAACTTCATTGTGGATGAATCCAAAACAGTCAAATAATTTATAATTTATCATATACCACTGCTAGCTTCTATAATTGGGAGACTTGTTCCGAAAATGTGAGAACTGTCACAAGTTGTCAGATTTACTAAAGGATGAAAACAGACGTGTCAGAAAAAAAATATTCTCAATCCAGTTTCCTCTCATCAGACTAGAACCAACTGTACGGTTTTAGATTAAGATGAGAAGCCTTAACATTTTTCAAATGTGTGTTTTGAAGAGAATGGCAAAGTCTGTGACAGAAGCAGAAAAAAATGCAATGACTATTTAAAAATCTGAGCTGCTCTAAAACTAGAACTAGTTTTAATAAAAACAACATGATGTACTAGACTAAAAGAAATGCACCCATTGGGAGGTCACATGTTTATACTTGACTTCTAGTTCATCTACAACTAATGAAAGTCACTGCAACTTATTATTTTCCCTCTCAAATCTATATTCTCTAGAGATATTTATATTCATATTAACGTCCTACTCCAAAGACAGATTGACTTGCTCAGACTGAATTATACCAAAAATGTCCTCTGCTTATGTTGTGCCATTTGCATTGGATTTTCAGTCTTCTTAACTTCTCAGCAATTTTCCCTACCTAATTTTTTTTTAAGTTAGAAATTAAGGTATACTCATTTTAACAAAATAGATAATACAGAGTTTTAACAAAAAAGGTAATAATCTTCCATTGTTTGGTGTGTAATCTTCCAAATCATCTCTATGCTTACACCACATATAAATATATACATGTAAAGGGCTCACCCTTCCTTGCTTTTCCCCTCCCCCAACTCTTTCCCCTTTAAGGCATTTTTCCAAACATTAGATCATACTACAAACCAGAGGTCACCAACTGATGGCCTGCAGTCTAGATATAGCTGGGAAGAATGTTTTGTTTGAAGAACACTGGGGAAATTTAACTTAAAAAATCGGAAGATCTCAATTCACAGGTCTACATGGTAATATTATTGATGCTGCATGGGCTTTCCA